ATTTTTAATTCTGGCTCCTGTTGCACTGTCGTCGTAGCTGAAACGAAAACGCGCCAGGTTATCCGTGATGTCCCCTGAACATGTCCGCTTTGCTTTCTCCCAGATAGATATTTATTCGAGTGAGATTGAATTAAATTGTGAGAAACTTGTTCTTGATGATCAGACATGGACAACATTATCTATTGTCTTCAAGCCTCCACATAATTCGTTTACTGGAATCATGACATTATTGTTTTAACTGCTGCACTTCAAGAGAAAGATAAGAGTACTGTTGCCTGGCATGACCAGCGTAATGCAGCTTCCATTATTGATCTTGATGGAGCTGATGATATTTTGTTTGCTATTGTGCTCAATGTTCCGGTTAGATTGTATGCTGGGCTTTGGAAGAGTAGGCGTTGGATCACTCGGATAGTGATCTTTCTAAGTCTGGTCTCTTCGAAGATACTGAAGAGGTCAGGGGACTTTCGGATTTTTTTTCAAGTCATGGCAGGGAGTTTTTGCTTGTCATGAACAAGAAAGAGTGAATCCCTTTTACTTTTAAGTTTTGGGTTGCGGTAGAAGTAGAAGCTTTGAATGTCTATAATTGTATAGCAGTCTTTATCTTGTAATTAGAAGAGAGCTTTGAAGTATTTAGCAGTTTCTATGCATTGGCTTTAAAGGATCTGGGGTTGAATGAAATAGCTCATTTTGGAAATGAAGCCTTAACCGTTGCAGGTTTGACTCTGCTGCTCGCAGAACTTTTCTGGTTCGTGCTGTGGTGTCTTAACACAAAGCAATTTATGCCCGAAATACAACTGATCCAAATTGTCATACTGTCTGCATTTGGAATTTGATACCAATCTTTCCCTGTCGATTTCTACTATTCACGATTTTTATAGATTTTTTCTCAGAAGTTTTCTTGAGCAATCATATTAGTTGATTTTTCGTTTTGTTTGCTGGATTCAAGTAGTTGAAATATGCGAGCGCGTTAATGTTCCTTCAAAACAATGTAATTACTCTGCAGTCAAACATTCATTTCCCAGTCAAGTATTTCACGTCAATATTTCATCCTGTGTTGCTAAATGTGTTTTTTGCTCATGGCCTCAGTCTAGGAACCTTGTTATCATTCAGACACTGTAACCATAGGTTTTGCTTATATCATCTGCCAGAACAAGGGCCAGTTGAGGTAGTATCATTTGAATGCTTTTGCTAGTGACATTTTTCTATGAGAAAAGTTACCATTTGCAGTCGCAAGATCAAAACAAGTAGTGACTGCAGAAACGTTATTTTAACTTTACAGTTAAATTTGCCTCTCTGTAGATATGAAAATAAGTAGATATACTGTTGTCTCTGCATAATGCCATGGACTAAAAGAAAATCCGTCTTCGTTAAAGTTCAATCATAATGCATCTTTTGTCATGTTAATTGTTTGTATCTGTATGTTTTCTTACCCAATTTTTGTTTCAACGTACATGAAGGGTTTCCTTTCTTGATGCTTTCGTGTTTGGAAGTTTTTAGGCTGGTGGTATCTTGAAGCTGTAGCCGGATTTATAGCATTTTGGCATATTGTCATCACCTCCGATCGTGTATTTCGTTTTTAGCGGTCTCAAAATGAAGAACAGCATCTTGAATATGGAAAAGGCACTGCATTAAAAAGGCCAATCTCCAGTCAAAAGCTCTTATATATTTTATACATTCAAGATAAACCACCAAGCAAATTCTGCCGAAAGGTTGCCTTATCTAGAACCCCCTTCCGAAAGCAGAAGATTAAATTAAAATAACATGGACCGTTCACTTTAGAAAGTCTAAGGGGACCAAGGCCGCCATGAAAGAGCAAGTAAATTGATGCAATTCTGGTACGGCGTGTTGTCTTTAAAGACAAGTTTTCAAGGTCCTACTCCATGAATATTGCTCAGTAGTCATGCCTGTCCTGATGATGCTTTCACACGTAGACTTTGGGTTTCATTGTCCCCACTAAATATCAATATGTAGCCATCTTATATTTGTAATGTTGCAAGAAGAGTATCTTGCTTTTTCTATCACTAGATTCACCAGGCGCCTTTCATGAAGAGAATCGAATCTACATTATTGTTTATTCATTTAGAATGTGTGTAGGAGCTCAATTCCTGTACAGAAATGAACAAAGAGAAACTGATCATACCTGCCTACTACTACTTTTATTTATAAGACAGGTGCTAACGTCCTCAATGATCTTAAAGCCATCACTTTGCTGTATACTATAACATTTTAGAGTCTTTCTGCTTGCACGTCACAGGAATGGAGTTTACGACAGTGCAACCTGGACTCCTAGAGCGGTGAACCCTTTGATCAGAACCTGCAAGAATCAAGTTAGATTTTCGGCTATTTGAATGCTTCGCAAGGTTCCTTTCACATTCAGTTTCTTTCGATTGAAGTAAGAGTTTCCCAGGCAATCATGCCTTTCTTTCTCAACCGATAACCTTTCCAGCAACTTTTCTTACTCCTCAAAAGGCTCAAAACAATGACCTTTTTCATTCTGTTCTAGTGTTTTCTTGTTTTATATTATTATCATTTTTTCACTCTCTTACCTTCATTTTCCATATTTAAACATCATCCCTCCTACCACTACTTCCAATCCAGGGGGGAGTACATTTTCTTCTTCTGTGTTAAACTGTCACAAAAATCCTGTAATCATGTCAACAAGGATTAATCAAGTGAAATACAAACCTACTGGTACCAACAGAACACAATATCCATCAACTAGAGACACAGGTTCTGGGAATAGATGGCCTGGTCGAACTTGTGGGTTCAGGCTCCTGAAAAGATCAATAGTGTCACCAGTGAAATTTCTCAAGCATTTTGGCGGGAAGGTAGCAAAAGCTGCGTGTTTAGGGAGGCGATCTTCACCTGGAGTTTCTTCTTCAGGAAGATCAAAACCATCTGTAGCTCCTAGTGATACTCACATAGCTGAAGCCATAGAAGATTGCATTGACTTCATTAACTCTTCTTCTCTGCCGAGGTCAAATTCTGTTTCTGCAAATCCTAGTTAAATTATTGTTGCAGCATCAGTTATATTGTCTTAAATTTTCTTGTTGGAACCCTTTAGGAAAATGAGAAGAGAATAACTTTGCTATGGAAAAAAGTACTGCAAGAATCTCAGTCCACAACTCAACTAAAAATCAATCCTGTCATAACTAGTTGGATGTAGCTGCATGAATTTACGTTCTCCGTTCAGCCAGGCATTAACAGAGAAAACAGTTTTAACGATGCGCCAATTTACATTCTTCATTTAACTTTATGACAAGCAGATTATTGCCATAAGATCAGGTTATCGGTATCACGGGAGAGAAGTAAACAATTGTCACAAGGTTTGCATATCCATGCCTTCCCTAACCAAGCCCCGTCATGCAGTAAGATTGATAAACAAGCTAGTGTAAAGGTAAACATGGAAGTAAAGGTGATCGCGTGTGAGGAATGATTGGTCAACATGTACAAATTTTTTATTTTTCCTCGGAGGATGGGGTAGCTAAACCAATAGACAGCAGTTACTATAAAGAGTTTGAGCCTTGAGGTATAACACAACCAGAAAAAAAGGTTCTCTGTTCAGAGAGCAGTTGTTGATTGGAATGCTGAGTTTAATAGGGCTAAAGTCAACATCCAGGAACACACTTTCTACTTCCAAGTTGCATGTGCGTGTGTATTTCATCTGGGAGAGAGGAATCATAGGCTGCGTTTAGACAACCTCCGTTCTTCTAGTTTGGTTCAAGATATTAATATCACTGCGGAAGTTAGAGTAAGATAATCAAGTGGCAGGCAATGAACTAACTTTAGTAAATCTGCAGGTATTGAGCTTTTCAGAAAGTTGATTGTTCAGTTAATCCAATTTTCCTTTCCTTGGTTAAGTCATTTCCGGAGTCTGTTTGTGGCAGATTTTGTATTGTATTTGGCCTTTAGCAAATATGTGCTCCTTCATCAGTTTGTTTGGAATGAATCATTTCGTCCCACGAAATAGAAAAGGTTCTTATAAGGATGCAAAATGCACCACCATATTCAGTTTCAACTTCAACAATGACAGATTCTTCGCTAAACTAGTATCAAGTTGTTTAAATCAATATCATGGATATCAAGCCTATGAAAATCCAAGACTTAATTTGCAATGAGCAAGCCAAAATATTTGAATTGGAGAACCACATATGAAGTAATAGTGAATTATTTTCTATTAATTCTAATAAAAAAAAATCTGCAGCAAGAATCACTACCTGCTAAACGAAGGACATACAAAATGAATTTAGAAGAGCTTGATTTCATATCTTGACAATTTCTGTTTGTTTCTAATGAAGCTTTACTTGTGGAATCTAGAGCAAGCATAACCAGTAAAAAGACGCAAAACATGATAGGTTTGCGGATGGATGTTGAACTGCTCTCTCCCCTGCCTTCACTTCATTGAAAGTGACGATGCTGTTGTTTCTGGTAAAGTGTGGATGCTTGTAGATAGGTTATTCTCATTGCTACTGCAAAAAAGTAAGAAAATACATGATTTGTATAATGCAAGTGGCAGATGGTACGTGCTAGCTTTGGCATCGGATTAGTGGCATAAAATTGTAGAACTGCTGCAATCAAGTGGTTTGGTGTATGGTGGTGGTGGTGGTGAATAGTTGATGGGGATGGTGCTGGTAGCAGAGGTTGAGAGGATGGCTAGGTTGTGGTTGTGGGTTTGGGCTAAAATGATCCTGGAAGGCATTGGTAAACCAGAAAGGAACTAATTTCTGCAGTATTTGGTAGACAGTGGCGAAGCTGTGATGGAAGAGGAGTCATGGAGACCCCAATCCTATCCAGGGGACGCCAATTATGTAGTAATGCTCTCATGTCAAAGAGTTGAAGTTTCTAATTACTTTCTTGAAGTAATGCTGTTGAGACGTTGCTTTAATCTTCTTCATTTATCAGGTTATTAGCAATGGTTCTGGCTGCAGCAATTACTTGTTCGTAAATTTCAGTTTCATGTGTTGGGGTTAAAATAGTTTCAGTTCATTGGATTTTCTATATTGCATTAACCAATAAATTAATTCATACAGTTACAAGTAACAATAATGAATTCATAACTCTTCGACATGGAAGAGAAGGGACCAAAAAGAGTAAGCAGCCTACAAGAGATAGAAACACAAGAGTTCAAGAATCATCAAATGCAGACAGATTAAGATTAACAGACAAATTTAATCTTTCTTGGCAAACAGCCCACCAAAGCCACCATTCTTCTTCTTCTTCTGAGGCACAGCAACAGAGTTCCTGCGGCCACTGGTGGTGCCACCGCTGTTCTTCTCCTCCACTTTCTTGAGGATGGGGTCAGTCTCATAGAACTGATCTTCCTTTTGCATACTCCCAAGAATCCAATCAAGAAGCCCCTTCTCCTCTTTGCTTCCTCCTGCTGCAGTGGCTGCATACACCCTAACAGAAGGAGAAGCAAAGCCAATGGGAAGAGAAGCCATTATCTTATCTACCAGGAGCACGTACCTCCCTGTTTTGCTCTTGATTTCTCAAAAATGTGGGAGCAAAGATAGTAGCGAAACTAAGATGTTGTATGGCTACTACGGTAATAGATTTTTCTTGCCCACTGGGGTAGTGAATCCTGAGCCGTTGATGGGAATGGGGAGTCGTGGGAAGTGGTTCCTGCACGAGCTCCCCACAAGTGGCTTATCCTCAACCTCTTTCCATAGGCGTGCGATTTTCTCTCAGAGACAGAAAAAATGGAAGATGAGAAAAAATAGGAGATATGGATACAGATTTGACACGTGGCAGAATGGTATTCCATCATTAATCTGCCACGTCACTTGATATTTCCCATCGTGATTGCAATCTTATCATTTAAATGACGCTTTAATAATGTTTAATTTCTCCAAACTTGATGTAATTATCATAATCCTCCTGAGAATGTTGTTGGAACACTCATAAGGATTCTCAATATATGCTATTTTACTATTCATTTTAAAATCATTTAGATCCTGTGATTAGTAAAATAGGATTAAGAGGCTGGGCCGCGTAAGCCCCGGAGGATACCATCTTGCCTTGAGGGAGAAATCAACGCAGGATCCAAAGAGAGTGTAACAAAGGCTCGGCCTGTTTGCTAGGATTGCTCTTATTAGAATAGACTGATGGGTCAGTGATGATTCAATGTATTTTTTTTGAAATATTTTGGATTGTAATTAAGGTTTTTTTTAATGTATTTTATTAAAAAATAAATTAAAATAATATATTTTTTATTTTTTAAAATTTATTTTTAACATTATCAATATATTTTGATACCAAGCATATCACATGATAACATGTTACTTTGTCGGTATTATGATATGCTTGTTACCAGGCATACGACAACTAGCAATTTAGTTATCGATTCAATATTGAGTTTTGAAACTAGTCTGATAAATTAACTTAGATTTTGGCTAATTTTAAGTTGGAATTAGGTTGAATTTATAAAAATAAAATAAAATGTAGGATAACCTAGAGATCTACTTGATTGAGTTAACCCGATAAGATCCGGTTAAAACTCGGTTGTAATCTATTAATTTTTTTATTAAAATGATATTATTTAATTTTTTTAAAAAAAAATTAATTGATAAAAATTCAAATCTTAAACCAGATTAGATTTAAAAACTATCATCTAATAAGCAGTGAAAGAGGAAAACAGATCACATGTCGATATATTTATGACTAATTGAGTGGAGATCGTTCAAAGTTGTCGTCGAACCCATTTTTCTATCGACAATAAAATAGCCAATGCCATGCGGTCGCACAAGTTACTGTGTGAATGAGCGGGTTATCTAACTCTGACTTGGGATGGCTTCTTAACTCAAGATACACGAACTACTTTACTTTGCTTGCGTTTACTTCTTAACATATCTTATTTGGTCAAGTAAGACGCTCATTTATTTTTATTATTATCATTTCTACGTGGGGGATTAATGCAACTGTTTATTATTTACTGGGATGAAAAGTTTAAATATTTATAAATACACTCATAAGGATTCTCAATATATGCTATTTTACTATTCATTTTAAAATCATTTAGATCCTGTGATTAGTAAAATAGCATTGAGAAAATTCACAAATTCTGTGATAAAAATCACTAAGAGGCTGGGCCGCGTAAGCCCCGGAGGATACCATCTTGCCTTGAGGGAGAAATCAACGCAGGATCCAAAGAGAGTGTAACAAAGGCTCGGCCTGTTTGCTAGGATTGCTCTTATTAGAATAGACTGATGGGTCAGTGATGATTCAATGTATTTTTTTTGAAATATTTTGGATTGTAATTAAGGTTTTTTTTAATGTATTTTATTAAAAAATAAATTAAAATAATATATTTTTTATTTTTTAAAATTTATTTTTAACATTATCAATATATTTTGATACCAAGCATATCACATGATAACATGTTACTTTGTCGGTATTATGATATGCTTGTTACCAGGCATACGACAACTAGCAATTTAGTTATCGATTCAATATTGAGTTTTGAAACTAGTCTGATAAATTAACTTAGATTTTGGCTAATTTTAAGTTGGAATTAGGTTGAATTTATAAAAATAAAATAAAATGTAGGATAACCTAGAGATCTACTTGATTGAGTTAACCCGATAAGATCCGGTTAAAACTCGGTTGTAATCTATTAATTTTTTTATTAAAATGATATTATTTAATTTTTTTAAAAAAAAATTAATTGATAAAAATTCAAATCTTAAACCAGATTAGATTTAAAAACTATCATCTAATAAGCAGTGAAAGAGGAAAACAGATCACATGTCGATATATTTATGACTAATTGAGTGGAGATCGTTCAAAGTTGTCGTCGAACCCATTTTTCTATCGACAATAAAATAGCCAATGCCATGCGGTCGCACAAGTTACTGTGTGAATGAGCGGGTTATCTAACTCTGACTTGGGATGGCTTCTTAACTCAAGATACACGAACTACTTTACTTTGCTTGCGTTTACTTCTTAACATATCTTATTTGGTCAAGTAAGACGCTCATTTATTTTTATTTTTATTATTATTATTTCTACGTGGGGGATTAATGCAACGGTTTATTATTTATTGGGATGAAAAGTTTAAATATTTATAAATTATTTTATGAGCTAAGATTCGTGATTTAAGAGAGGAATAAAAATACTATTATGATAGGTATTATTACACAAATATCATTACTTAATTATTATATAATATTAGATTTAAACAAGATTATTCCAATAAAGCAGAATTATGAGATACAAAATAGTATGTTTAAGACAGGGGCGGAGCTGAAATTATATAATAGAAAGGGTTAAAATTCAAGATATAATTTATTATTAAAAAAATTATTTATTTAAAATAAAAATATATTATATTATT